TTATGCTGCGTCTATGATACCTCTTTGATGCCTCTATGATACCTCTATGATGCCTCTCTGATGTCTCTACACTGCCTCTGTGCTCTCTCTACACTTCCTGTGCTGTCTCTATCCTGCCTTTATACTGCCTCTGCACTGCCTCTATGCTGTCTCTATACGCTTATGCTGTTTTTATACGCCCCTATGATGCCTCTGTGCTGGCCTATCTGCCTCGGATGTTCCTCTTTAGCCTTGCACTGCTTTATATTACCTCTGTGGGCCCTTTCTTATTGCCTCTATAAATCCTCTGTGCTGACCTTATATTGCCTATATACTAGCTACATCATCCATGGCTAGATTATTATTATTATTATAATCAAGGGGGAAGCGCTAAACCCGGAGGATTATACAGCGCCTGGGAGGGGGGATGTGGAAGGCATTCAGGCTTAATTCGGGGAACTGGAGCACAGATCCAATTCCCTAAATCAAGAGCCCCTCACCAACATCAAGGAACCTTCCTTGAGGGGATCCATGGCTAGAGAATTTTTTGCTCCCTCTATCACCTGGACCATATTAATTGTCACGTGCATGGATTAGGGGCCACTCAAGTCAGATACGGGCCACTTTAATTAAGCATGGTACCACTCTGCTCAACTATGGGCCACTCTTCTCAGCTATGGGCCAATCTGCTCAGTTATGGGCAACGCTAGTCAGCAAATGGTTGGAAAACTGTCAGCAAGGCTTTTGTTTCACGTCCCCACAAAAGCACGCCCTGCCTTACACTACGCGCTTTCTAAACTAAAATGTTTGTCAGACTTAACTCAAACAAGAGGGACGAGCTCTGAGGACTTTTGCAATTCCTTCTCTTTTGTTTGCTTGCTTAACCTTGTGTTTGTTCGTGCTGGTATGATAATATTGCCAGTGTTATTGATAACCTCCACGAAATTTATTTCTTTGAACAATTTCGTGTAGGTTATTGTTTCTCTGTTTTCAGAGACAATACCAATGATGCAGCGGTTCAACATTGTAGTGGTTTAACAGTGGTGTGGTGGTTTAATAGTGGTGTAGTGGATTAACAGTGGTGTAGAGGTTTAATAATAGTGTAGTGGTTAACTAGTGATGTAGCGGTTTAACAATGATGTACTGGTTTAACAGTGATGGAGTGATTTAACAGTGATGGAGTGGTTTCTTGATGACAAAAGTGTATATGCAGCGAGGTGTGTGTGTCTACATGAGTCAATACAGGTGTGGGTTCCAAACTAGTGCCGCATACTCCAATATGGGCCTAACGTACGCAGTGTACAGGGTCCTGAACGATTCCTTATTAAGATGTCGGAATGCTGTTCTAAGGTTTGCTAGCGCCCATATGCTGCAGCAGATATTTGGTTGATGTGGGCCTCAGGAGATGTGCCCGGTGTTATATTCACCCCAAGATCTTTTTCCTTGAGTGAGGTTTGTAGTCTCTGGCCCCCTAGACTGTACTCCGTCTGCGGTCTTCTTTGACCTTCCCCAATCTTCATGCCTTTGCACCTGGTGGGGTTGAACTCCAGGAGCCAATTGCTGGACCAGGCCTGCAGCATGTCCAGACCCCTTTGTAGCTCTGCCTCGTCCTCGTCCGGTTGAATTCTTGTCATCAATTTCACATCATCTGCAAACAGAGACACTTCGGAGTCTATCCCTTCCGTCATGTAGTTCCCAAATACCAGAAACAGCACCGGTCCTAGGACTGACCCCTATAGAACCCCACTCGTCACAGACTCCCACTCTGACACCTCGCCACGTACTATGACTCGCTGCTGTCTTCCTGATAAGTATTCCCTGATCCATTGTAGTGCCTTCCCTGTTATCCCTGCCTGGTCCTCCAGTTTTTGCTCACTTATCTCTTGTGTGGAACTGTGTCAAATTCCTTCTTACAGTCCAAGAAAATGCAGTCTACCCACCCCTCTCTCTCTTGTCTTACTGTTGCCACTCTGTCATAGAACTCCAGTAAGTTTGTGACACAGGATATCCCATCCCTGAAACCGTGTTGGCTGTTGTTAGTAGGCTCATTCCTTTCTAGGTGTTCCACCACTTCTCCTGATAATCGTCTCCATGACTTAGCATACTATACATGTCAGTGACACTGGTCTGTAGTTTAGTGCTTCATGTCTGTCTCCTTTTTTGAAAATTGGCACTGCATTTGCTGTCTTCCATACCTCAGGTAATCCCCTGATTCGATAAATGTTTTGAATATTGTTGTTAGGGGTATACATAGCGCCTCTGCTCCCTCTCTAAGGACCCATGGAGAGATGTTATTCGGCCCCATTGCCTTTGAGGTGTCTAGGGTTGTATGTATTGTGCCCAGCACTTGGTAACGACTCTTATGACTGAAGAAATACTTCCTAACGTCCCTGTGACTCGTCTGAGTCTTCAGCTTCCAATTGTGATCCCTTGTTTTTGTGTCCCCTCTCTGGAACATCCTGTCACTGTCCACCTTGTCTATTCCCCGCAGTATCTTGTATGTCGTTATCATGTCTCCCCTGACCCTTCTGTCCTCCAGTGTCGTCAGTCCTATTTCCCTCAACCTTTTCTCGTACGACATTCCCCTGAGCTCTGGAACTAGCCTTGTTGCAAACCTTTGTACTTTCTCTAACTTCTTGACGTGCTTGACCAGGTGTGGGTTCCAGACTGGTGCTGCATACTCAAGTATGGGCCTAACATACACAGTGTACAGTGTCCTGAACGATTACTTATTAAGGTATTGGAATGCTATTCTCAGGTTTGCCAGGCGCCCGTATGCTGCAGCAGTTATTTGGTTGATGTGTTCCTCCGGTGACGTGCTCGGTGTTATGGTCACCCCAAGATCTTTCTCCTTGAGTGAGGTCTGTAGTTTTTGTCCACCTAGCCTATACTCTGTCTGCAGTCTTCTTTGCCCCTCCCCAATCTTTATGACTTTGCATTTGGCAGGGTTGAATTCGAGAAGCCAGTTTCTGCAGAATCAGAATTTAATATTAGTAGACAGTATTTAGACAGTAGAAAGACTTTAATAGTAATAGACAGCAGTAGATAGACAATAATAGTAGTAGACAGCATTAGAAAGGCTTAAACAGAAGTAAAGAGTAGCAGATTGTTAGAGATCTTTGTCGGAATTTAATAGCAGCACTGTGTACTCAGACTTTGCACAGACTTTTGTCAAGTGCCATCACGGTATAACAGCGCACAGAATGCATACAAATGGAATAACTGGAATAGTGAGCAGATGGATGTTTAACTTCCTATCTCAGAGATCAGAAAGTAATATTAAACACAGAAATCACTCCGTATGAAAGCATAAGATTCAGCAGACAGAGCAACATTCACTCAGTGACAAGTAGGGGCGCCGTGATTACACTGAGAGAAAACACAATTAGTATCAGGGGCTCAAGGCTGTTCAACGGCCTCCCATCATACATAAGGTGGATTACCAATAGACCCTCCTAGCTGTCTTGAAGAGGGAGCTGGACAGATACCTAAAGTAAGTACCTGACCAGCCGGGCTGTGGTTCGTACGTTGGACTGGGTGTGGCTAGCAATAACAGCCTGGTTAATCAGGCCTTGATTCATCGTGAGGTCTGGTCATAGATCGGGCCGCGGGGGCGTTGATCCTGGCAACACCCTCCAGTTAGACTCTACGTAGGTAGATATTAGTAGATAGACTTTAAAAATAACAAAACAACCTCAATTATATGTCCTTGCAGGTGAGAAATATTTTATGAGTTGTTTATGTTGTGTTGGAGGAGCCAGAGTGTCACGCTGCAGGCTGAGACGTTTGTTCTTGACGATGTGGACTGGTAAGCCAGTGGTAAGCCATCAGGAAGCCAGTGGAAGCCAGTGGTAAGCCAGTGGCAAGATATTAGTAAACCAGCGGAAGTCAGTGGTAAGCCATTAGTAAGCCAGTAGTAAGGCCATTAGTAAGCCAGTGATATGCCATTAGTAAGCCAGACGAAGTCATTAGTAAGCCAGTGGTAAGCCATTAGTAAGCCAGAGAAAGTCAGTGGTAAGTCAGCAGTAAACAACTCTACCCTTAATGATTCAAGTTCATTTACAATCTTGGTTCCATATTTAGTTAATACAAAAACTATACAAAACTTCTCTGTAACTGACTTGTGCCCTTGAGACACGGGGCATCATGCCCAACACAACAGGTACGAAACTTGTATTATTCACTCCACTGGAGGACCAGGTGGACGCGTGGATACACGCATACCCTAAGTAGCCCTTTGCGACGCACCAGCGTTGATTAGATCATTATTTTTTTCGGTGGTGTGGGCGTGTCCAACCTGGTGGTGAAGAGCAAAACCTAACTGCCCGAGTTTTTGTGGCTTTGGTGAAGGGCGCAAGCAATTTGTCAAGAGGAACCAGGGTGTAAGTTTGAGAGAGAATGACCAGTTCTGGAAATGATTTGCTTGTGTTTCGTAGGTCTCAAGGCTGGTGTGTCCATGAACGAATTTTTGAGCATCTGCTGGTGTTATTCTTGATTCTTATTGCTGCTGAGAATAAGAAATCTCAACACTTTCTATCACCACCATTACTAGTACTAGTACTATACACAAATAACCCGCACATAGAAGAGAGGAGCTTACGACGACGTTTCGATCCGAATTGAACCATTTACAAAGTCACACTGTGACTTTGTAAATGGTCCAAGTCGGACCGAAACGTCGTCGTAAGCTCCTCTCTTCTATGTGCAGGTTATTTGTGTATCGTTCCAGTCACGATATTGTGCCTTTTTTATTTACTACTACTAATTCTAATAATAATAATAATGATAATAATAATAATAATAATAATAGTGCTACCACTACTACTACTACTACTACTACTACTAGTACTTCTACAACTACTGCTGCTGCTGCTGCTGCTGCTGCTACTACTACTACTACATGGTCTTCATGGTCATCATGGTTTTCATGATCATCATGGTCTTCATGATCATCATGGTCTTCATGATCATCATGGTCTTCATGATCATCATGGTCTTCATGGTCATCATGGTCTTTCATGTCATTCATGGTCTTCATAGTCATCATGGTCTTCATGATCATCATGGTCTTCATAGTCATCATGGTCTTCATGATCATCATGGTCTTCATGATCATCATGGTCTTCATGATCATCATGGTCTTCATGATCATCATGGTCTTCATGGTCATCATGGTCTTCATGATCATCATGGTCTTCATGGTCATCATGGTCTTCATGGTCATCATGGTCTTCATGATCATCATGGTCTTCATGATCATCATGGTCTTCATGATCATCATGGTCTTCATAGTCATCATGGTCTTCATGATCATCATGGTCTTCATGATCATCATGGTCTTCATGATCATCATGGTCTTCATGATCATCATGGTCTTCATGATCATCATGGTCTTCATGATCATCATGGTCTTCATGATCATCATGGTCTTCATGATCATCATGGTCTTCATGATCATCATGGTCTTCATGGTCATCATGGTCTTCATGGTCATCATGGTCTTCATGATCATCATGGTCTTCATGATCATCATGGGTCTCATGATCATCATGGTCTTCATGATCATCATGGTCTTCATGATCATCATGGTCTTCATGATCATCATGGTCTTCATGATCATCATGGTCTTCATGATCATCATGGTCTTCATGATCATCATGGTCTTCATGGTCATCATGGTCTTTCATGGTCTTCATGTCATCATGGTCATCATGGTCTTCATGATCATCATGGTCTTCATGATCATCATGGTCCTTCATGATCATCATGGTCTCATGGTCATCATGGTCTTCATGGGTCTCATGGTCATGGTCTTCATGGTCATCATGGTCTTCATGATCATCATGGTCTTCATGATCATCATGGTCTTCATGATCATCATGGTCGTCATGGTCTTCATGATCATCATGGTCTTCATGATCATCATGGTCTTCATGATCATCATGGTCATCATGGTCTTCATGATCATCATGGTCTTCATATCATCATGGTCTTCATGGTCATCATGGTCTTCATGATCATCATGGTCTCATGTCATTGGTCTTCATGGTCATCATGGTCTTCATGATCATCATGGTCTTCATGGTCATCATGGTCTTCATGATCATCATGGTCTTCATGGTCATCATGGTCTTCATGATCATCATGGTCTTCATGGTCATCATGGTCTTCATGATCATCATGGTCTTCATGGTCCATCATGGTCTTTCATGATCATCATGGTCATTATGATCATCATGGTCGTCATGGTCTTCATGATCATCATGGTCTTCATGATCATCATGGTCGTCATGGTCATCATGGTCTTCATGATCATCATGGTCTTCATGGTCATCATGGTCTTCATGATCATCACGGTCATCAAGGTCATTATGGTCATTATGGCCATCATAGTCATCATGGCCATCATGGTTATCATGGTCATCAAGGTCATTATGGTTATCATGGCCATCATGGTTATCATGGTCATCAAGGTCATTATGGTCATCATGGCCATCATGGTCATCAAGGTCATCATGGTCATCATGGTCATCATGGTCATCAAGGTCATCATGGTCATCAAGGTCATCATGGTCATCAAGGTCATCATGGTGTGAGTAAAAGTATGAGTGGGCTACGCAAGCACCCATGGTAGTGATGGTCATCATGATCATCATGGTCATCATGATCATCTTGGTCATCATTGTCATCATGATCATCATGGTCATCATGATCATCATGGTCATCATGGTGTGTGAGCAAAAGTATGAGTGGGCTAGGCAAGCACCCATGGTAGTGATGATCATCATGATCATCGTGGTCATCATGGTCATAACGGTCATCGTGGTAATCATTGTCATCATGGTCATCGTGGTCATCATGGTCATCGTGGTCATCATGGTCATCATGGTCATCGTGGTCATCATGGTCATCCTGGTCATCGTGGTAATCATGGTCATCATGGTCATCGTGGTCATTATGGTTATCATGTTCATCATGGTCATCCAGTTGCTGGACACCTGGTCCAGCAACTACCTTCTCGAATTCAACCCCGCCAAATGCAAAATCATGAAGATCGGGGAAGGGCAAAAAAGACCGCAGACGGAGTGTAGGATAAGTGGCCAAAGACTGCAAACCTCACTCAAGAAGAAAGATCTTGGGGTGAGTATAACACCGAGCACGTCTCCTGAAGCACACATCAACTAGATAACTGCTGCAGCATATGGGTGCCTGGCAAACCTGAGAACAGCGTTCCGATACCTTAGCAAGGAATCGTTCAAGACACTGTACACCGTGTACGTCAGGCTCATACTGGAGTATGCAGCACCTGTTTGCAACCCACACTTGATCAAGCACATCAAGAAAATAGGAAAAGTGCAAAGGTTTGTGACAAGATTAGTTCCAGAGCTAAGGGGAATGTCCTACGAAAAAAGGTTAAGGGAAATCGGCCTGACGACACAGAATGACAGGAGGGTTATGGGAGACATGATAGCAACATACAAAATACTACGTAGAATACACAAGGAAGACAGAGACAGGATGTTCCATAAATTGGACACAGAACCAAGGGGTCACAATTGGAAGTTGAAGACACAGATGGTCAAAGGGATGCTAGGAAGTATTTCTTCAATCATAGAGTAGCCAGGAAGTGGAATAGCCTAGCAAGAGAGGTAGTGGAGGCGGGAACCATACATAGCTTTAGGATGAGGTATGATAAAGCTCATGGAGCAGAGAGAGAGAGGACCTAGTAGCACTCAGTGAAGAGGCGGGGCCAGGAGCTGAGTATAGACCCCTGCAACCACAATTAGGTGAGTACATACAAATTCACACACATACACACACATACACTACACACACACACAAAACACACATACACACACACACAAGCACACACACACACACACACACACACACACACACACACACACATACACACATACACACATACACACAACACACACACACACACACACACACACACACCACACACACACACACACACACACACACACACACACACACACATGGAGGACAGGGGAGAAAACGGGGGACATGATAACGACATACAAAATACTGAGAGGAACTGACAAGGGGGACAAAGACAGGATGTTTCCAGATTTTGGACACAGCACCAAGGGGACACAGTTTGAAGTTGAAGACAAAAGATGAAACACAGGGACGTTAGGAAGTATTTTCTTCAGTCATAGAGTAGTTTAGGAAGTGGAAAAAGTCTGGCAAGCGATGTAGTGGGGGCAGGGACTATACATATTTTAAGACGAGGTATGATAAAGCTCATGGAGCAGTGGGAAGAGGACCTAGTAGCGGTCGGTGAAGAGGCGGGTCCAGGAGCTGAGTCTCGACCCCTTTCAAACCACAATTTGGTGAGTACAAATTTGGTGAGTACACAACACACACACACACACACACACACATACACACCACACACGCACACACACGCACACACACACGCACATGCACACACACACACACACATACACACGCACACGCACACACACACACACACACACCACACACACACACAAAACACACCCCACACATACCAACATACACAACACATACACACACACACACACAAAACACACCACACACGCAAACCCCACACACACACATAAAAAACACGCACACAAAACACACACACATCCCACACGCACACACACACACACACATACCCCACGCACACACACACACAAAACACACACACCAAAACACACTACATACACACGCCACACACACTCACTTTACACTTTCACATACACACTCACATACACATTTCACTTTCACAGGGACACACACACCCCACATTCACCAACACACACAACCCAAACACACAACCACAAAACACACACCACAAGCACACACACCCCAAAACACATACACACACACATACAAAACACAACATACACACCCACAAAAACACACATACACATACCCCACACATACACACGCACACACTTTAAAGGGGAAAACACACTTTAAAAGGGAAATGGGCCCTGACGACACTGGAGGACGGGAAAGGTCGGGGAAAGACATATAACGACATTTTAAAAAAACGGGCTGGAAAAACAAGGTGGACAAAGACAGGATTTTCCCAGGGAGGGGACACAATACAAGAGGCCACAATTGGAAGTTAAAGAAAACAAATGAGTCAAGAGAATTGGGAAGTATTTTTTCAGTCAAAAGAGTTGTAAGGCAGTGGAATACCTAAAAAATTTTACGTAGGGGAAAGGCAGGAACCATACCAGTTTTAAGACGGGGTTTTGATAAAGCTCATGGAGGGGGGGAGAAAGAGGGCCCAGTAGAAAAACCGGGAGCCGGGAGCAAAGACTCAAACCCCCTGAAACCCAAACAAATGGGTGAGACAAATGGTGATAACACACACACACACACAAACACACACATACATACAAAAAACCCACCAAACACACAAAACAAAACAAACACACACAAACAAACACCACAACACACACAAAATACACACACACATACACAACCCCACACAAACACAAAACCCCACAACCCCTACACACACACCCAAAAACACATACACACACACACACACAACACACACACAAAACAAACACACACACACACAAACACATACACACACACAAAACACACACACACACAAAACACACAAAAACACATACACACAAAACACACACAAAACACACACCCACAACATACACACACACACAAAAACACATACACACACACACACACAAAACACAAACACACACAAACACATAAAACACACACACCCCCACACACAAACACACACACACAAACACATACACAAACCACACACACATCACCCCAAAACACACAATACAAAACACATACACACACACAAACAAACACATACACAAAACACACACATACACCCCAAAACAACATACACACACCCCCCCCCAAAAAAAAACCACAAAACCACACACACACACACACAAAACACACACACAACACACACACACAAACACAAAACCACACAACACACACCCCACAAAAACACACACACACACAAACACATAAAAACACACACACACAAAACACACCACACACACTTTAAAACCCCACACTCATACACCCCACACAAAAACCCAAATACATACATCACACACACACACACATACACACACACACACACATACAAAACACCACATACACACACACACACAAACACATACACCATACACAACACACACAACCACACAAAACCACACAAAAATACACACACACACAAAATACACACACACACACAAACACACACACACATCACACACAAAACACACACACACACACACACACATACCCACACACACACATCAAACACACACACAAACACACACACATAAACACACACACACACACATACACACACACAAAACGCCAGTTTTTAAAAAACAAAAAGACGGGTTTTTTTTTCCCCCCTGGCGGGGTTTCTTTCCGTCGGGGTAAATCATTTGGAGACGCAAAAAGTTGCAGCCCCCGCTAAAAAACCAATAGCTTTAAAGAATAGGGCTTTTCTCACCGCACTCCTGAGCCCAACATTTTGCTTCTTGCTTCCGGGATATGCTTTCAAGTCGAAAACATAACGGTTTTAAATTTTTGCTCCCCTTTCCACCACGAAAATTTCCTCAAACACACTCACGTAAAATTGGGGTTTTGTGGCTGAAACTCTCCCAAAGTGGGCGGCACATCAATAATCCTTAAAAAATAAGGGGGAAAAAAAGTTTTAGTTTTCATTTTCTGACCTTACTTATGTGAAAGG